GTGAGTACAGTAGTAGAGAAGACAATTGTCACTAACTTGATTCAGTTCGACTGTCTCGTTTGTCTCATCATTATGTCTAATAGTTACAGCTGTTACTAGTGCTACTGTTGTTTCTGCGAGAAGTCCTATTTATTTTGCATTTGTTCTTCTTAGCATTTTAATAAGTAAACAAGTTTAAGTGATGAAATGCTAATTCTTCTATAAATGTTTATAAAGACCGACTGTCACCTCTTACCATACATATAATTAAAAATGAGAATCTGCTTTTTTTTTTCTTTTTGATGTCGGTTAAAAGTATGTTTCTAGAAGGTGGTTCATAGAATGACCGCAAGTGCAAGAGGTCTCGGTTTTCTAACAAACAAACGACCACAATTTCACATTTGTATAAATCTAAATCCACCAACATCAATAAGACCTCTTTTGAACATCAAAACACAAAATTAAATACCTATTGAAAATGTCAATCTGTCGGTCATTCTTCTAGTGAAGCATTTTACGCGTTCGAAAGTGTAGATTGCACCTCTGCCTACCCTTTCGGGGATAAAGGCGTGATGTTATGTTATGTATGAAAGTGTAGATTCCTATGGAGAAGAACGAGTAAGAAACCTTATATTTATAGTGTGAAGTAAGAAGGTAGTAGCAATACTTAGAATAGGGGAAAGTGCGCGTGAATCACGGCAGAGGGCACGCTGGGCCCGCAGACTCGAGTAGCCAGTAGCAGCGCGACAGTCGCCGCGTCGCGGGTCGCGAAATGTTGCTCACTAATATGAGCCTCTAGCATGGCTTGAAACTAGTCGAGTTCCTCGTCAAATAATTACGGAAGTAAGCCGAAATCATAATAATTAATTTAGCATGTCTCACGAAAGTTATAATACAATAAAAAAATAACAACAATACTTTATTACAATACGTAGGTATATATATAAAGAGTACTTTAAAGAGTAAAGCTTAGGCTACATGTCAAGCGAAACCTGCCGATTTTGCCTGACATTATACGGTGACAACGCGTGTTTTATGACAGTGACGTTGATGTTACCAGACATGTCGACAAAAGTCCGGCAACGTCGCGCTACTTCACCCAACGTCGCTGGCACCATGTGTCGCAGGATAAGTACCCTTATGTATCCTTGGCCTTACATGCAACATTATTTATTACATTTTTTTATACTTAACTAGTGGAACCCGACAGACGTTGTCCTGCATATCCACTTGAATGTATAAACAAAAATTCATTCAATTAGTTCAGCCGTTTAGGATAAATAGACACCGACTGCAGCGCCATCTGCCAGGCTGTTTTGTGAATTTAAACCATTCAAGGCGCCACTCAAATGCGTACAGAAAAATTCATTTAAATCAGTCAAGCCGTTTAGGAGGAGTTCAATGACATATGTCTGGTTTGGAAGCCCAAAAATATGAATACCCTCAGTTAATTAAAAAAGAGTAAATATAGAAAGTGCATTTTTACATTTTGTTTGTATTTACATTTACTATTAGATCTATACATTTTTCTAATCACAACTTTTGACACACATACGCACACACACACACACACACACACACACACACACACACACACACATATTCTGCAGAATTTATTTTATCAATATAATTTCATATTAAATTTATTTTCTTTTCCTTTTTGAGGGGCGGTACCGCCGTCCGTGAGTCACTGCAGGGTGCTACCTGAAAATCAGCGTTGGGCAGTAATGCCCAACTATATGCTGAGGTGGAGGCCCTTTTGGCATGTGCACACACACTACAGTATTACTATGTATTATATTATTTATGTTTACTTTTTTTTTGTATATTTAATTTTTTTATATCAACAATTTATTGCATTTGTTTTGTATTGTATGTAAATTATTGTTATATTTTGATGATTTTTTATTATGTATTTATGTAACTACCTGTATCTTCATTTTTCATAATCTTTGTTGGTGTGCCATTTACCAAATAAATGCTTTTTCTTTCTTTCTTCTTTACATACACACGTACAGCAGAATTATATATATAAAGAAGAAAGGTCGACGTTTGATGACCATCTCGCCTGATGGTAAGCGATGATGTGGCCGACGGTGGAGCACGCCTACCTATGAGCAACCTGTTCACTCGGGACTTGAAGACACCCAAGTCTTATTTGACGGGAAACACAGACTTATTCACTGACCACAAGTTCCCTCATTAAATAAATGAGTATAGAATGAGTAAAGAAAAGAATTGCTCACACGGAACATATAACACAATATTTAAGTGCGGGGTAAGTTGGAAAGTAACTGTTCCATTGACTTACAATATACAAACATGTTCAGAAGGTTCACTGCGTAAAAAGGTAAAATACCAAAGCGTTTTAATCCCTGAAGGATGCACATTTGTTATGCAACACCGACCTTTCACTACGATCCTGGCTTACAGGAGTTGCAGCGGTTTTGGGAGGTTGCGGAGGGCTTGTCCCATAGAAAAAAAATTACTGACTATAACTTACCGTGTTCCTACTCTTGCACTTCGAGCCGGAGCCCCGACAACCTGTTACATAGGGGGGGGGGGGGGGATGGAATAATTTCAGGTTCCGTGACATTACTGATAATTCGCCAAAAGCCGTAAAATTTCAAAAGTACCTACTCAGCTACTTCAAACTGAGATCATTTGTTCGGCTCCTATATTTGCGCCTGAGAATGCAAACATAGCAATACACATTGCATTGTTATTTGCGTTTGATAAAAATCTGACAATTTGGAATTAGAATACATAATATGTGTAGCTGAGCGCAAGCTGTTGGTCGTGACTTCGTCTGCGTAGGATATGAATTTTAGAACATAACACTTTTTGGTTTCAATTTTCTATAAAATAAGAGTAGCCTCTGTTACTCGTTAGTATACTAGCTACCTGGCAATAAAAGTCTTGCAAAATCGGTCCAGCCGTTCCAAAGATTAGCCAGTACAAACAGATAGACAGACAAAAATTATAGTTTTGCAAAATGATGGTTTACTAAGTAGCCAGTTATTGTAGGATACGTTCAGAAGTATCACTACATAGTATAAAACAAAGTCGCTATCCGCCGTCTGTCTGTCCCTATGTATGTTTAAATCTTTAAAACTACGCAACGGATTTTGATGCGATAATGTTTTTTTAATAGATAGAGTGCTTCTTAAACTGTCAAACACCAAGCGGTCACCGGTGACCGCAACCTATTGTTCTATAATTGTGTCTACAAAACCGGTACTCGACGAGTTAAGGAAGGTTTATATGTATAATAAATGCATATTGCACCTGTGCCAAGCCGCGGCGGGTCGCTAGTATCATATTGTATCATTGGAGAAAAGATAGTTTCCAAATGAAGCTAGTTACGATTCATCCTTCTGTACTTATAACTTATAGTGTGACGTTACGTTGTAGGAGACTCATTAAGTATTTAATTTAATAGAGTTGACTGCACCCTGGATTATATACGCCGGTGCACCGTGCACACCACCGTGCGTCGTGTTTTATACAGAAACAAAATGGAGGACGCTCGATATTTCTAATGAACACGGAATGAGCTGTACTTTTTTACGTTGCGTAGATGACGCTCATATCGATGTTAGAATGTCAGGGGATGTATTTTTGGTGTAATTTTTTATAATTTTACTAATAATTACATGCAAATGATGTAACATTTAGTTCTAGATATATTTTTAGTAGTAAATTATTTTTGAATAGATTTAGCGGCCCGTTGCTAGTATAAATAGTATCTTATACTAGAATTTAAAGTTGTAATTTAGTAGTTAATTGTTCGGGTGAGTTAGTTCTTACGAATGCCAATAGATGGCACCACAAGTTCCATCCGCCTGAGTCCTCACTATTCATATTAAAATTTCCAGTTTAGAGTAAAGAAACTAAAGTAAGCAATTTTTTAACGGTATGATTTAATTTTTTTTTTAAGCAAAAACTTTGTCCCACACCAGGATTTTGTCCTGTGTCATGGATACGTTTAAGCTCACATACACATGACACCCAGACTCGGAACAAAAATCTATGGATCACACAAAGAATTATTCGACACGGTGTACGGTAGCCAGTTGCCTAGCTACCGTGCCAACCATGCAGTCAGTATTACTTAAAATCTTTAGTGTTTAGACCAGTTTAGACCGAGTTCAATCCCGAGCGTACGGCGCGTCGCGTTCCGCGCGCGCCTCAAAGAGCCATCAGACCACCACAGATGGGGCCCAATAGGGCTGTTGCCGATTCGGAGTCGCGGAGAACCTAACGGGTAACCGGGGCTCCGGTTCGACGTGCAGGAGAAGGAACGGGGTGGTTTTTAGTCAGTAAGAGTCTGACACTCCCTTCCGCCTCACCCAGGTGGGAGCAGTCAATCGATGATTTTCCCCCTTTAAAAAAAAAAAGACCGAGTTCAATAGTTAGGTACCTAACTGTTGAAATTTATAACGTTAAGGACATGGATGTGACCATCGAGTTGAGTAAAAAAGGCACCTGTTGTTCAAAAGAATTCATTGTCATCATAATATAGCTAATATTTGAAGTTATAAGGGAATAAGGTAACAATGTCACATAATCTCTGGAACGGTAGGAACAGGTGCATATTTCCAATGTTTTAACAAGTTATAGGTCTTGGGTTCTCAGCATGGAGACTGAAATTGTTCTCGATAACATAACTGGCGAAAGAGACCTGTGCAAAGAGTACGTAACAGCTGAATTCATAGACAAAGACACAAGAAAAAAAATATCAACTAGAAATCTATGCCCAACATGCAGCAAGCACAAAAATCTTTTAAAATAAAAAAAAACGTCAAAAATGTCAATAATAATATGATAATACGCAAATTTTAATGTGGCTTTAAAATAAAGTAAACAACAGCAATATCTAATACAAGTTTAAATAAATAGAAAACAAAATGGAAACACATGAATTTGACTTTAGCAAAATTTTGGACCAAACACAATATACCTATTTGTCAGAGAGTTTGACAACTAAAGATGAGTTTGAAAGGCCTTTAAAAAGGTCGATGGTGGAGGAGAAGCAGCGATGGATTCCTCCATTCAAGGATTCGCTGGTGGACCGTCTCCGACCCATGGTGGTGATGGTTGGTGCTCTCGAAGTGGTGATTGGACTTACCTTGGCAATGCTTGTCATATTGTACGGTCATGATTACAATGAGATGTACGCTACTGTTGACACTGGTCGTATGTATTTGGACTTCTAGATTCTAATTTCGTATGTACTAATCGTTTTAACTCGTCGAGTACCGGTTTTGTAGACACAATTATAGAACAATAGGTTGCGGTCACCGGTGACCGCTTGGTGTTTGACAGTTTAATAAACACCCTGTGTGTGAGCCTGACTTACAAATGTTTAAACTTCGAGTAGGTATTATAAAATATGTTATCTGTTGTGGAAGCCCTGTTTCCATGACTGTAAATTTATAAGCTAGTTATATTTCTGCTACATACCACTATCTTTTTGTGGAATTTTTTTTAAGGGGGGAAAATCGTCGAATGACTGCTCCCGCCTGGGTGAGGCGGGAGGGAGTGTCAGACTCTTACTGACTAAAAACCACCCCGTTCCTTCTCCTGCACGTCGAGTCGGAGCCCCGGTTACCCGTTAGGTTCTCCGCGACTCCGAATCGGCATCTTTTTATGGTATAGGAAGCAAATGAGCAGACGGAGCACCTGATGGTAAGCGATCAACGCTGCCCATGGACACCTGCAACACCAGAGGAGTCACATAAGTACGAGTTCGGTTTACTAAAGTTCTAACTCTTGCTGTAAGAATTTATAGTGACTTAGTTCTATGCCTTCTAGATGAAGCAAAGGGCGTCCACAGAGGTCCTTCCCTTATCTTCATCAGTCTTGAGCTTCTCGTTTTACCTCGTTCCTCGTCATTCCAATGCTCGCTGAATTTATAGTGTAATGTAAAACCTAATTGTTAATAAATAACAATTATATTTACTTAAATACTCATTCCAGTTATAAGTTTGATGTCATTTGGTGGACTGATAGTTCTAGTTATCAGTGGCATAATGTTATTAACTTCAGTATTGTACAAGAAAAAGAAACTTATGAGGGTAAGGCTTGTAAAACTATTCTCAATCTTAAGTCTGTAGACATAAATACTATTAACCATGATGCAAATGCTATGCGAAATGGTAACAAGATCGATTACAATCACATGATATTCACACGATATTTTGGGGACATACAAAACCTAATTTGTTGAATATTGTAATTTTATTTCAGTATAGGTAATAAAATCCATAAAATAATTTGTTTCTTACTTTAAAGTATTCAAGTATTGTTCATAATAATATGATATACTAAATTTATAATGGGTATTATTTTTCAGTATCACATCTTAATATCAACGCTACTATGCGTGTACATATTTGCACTATCAGTGATGAAGATTCATTTTGCTCTCCTCGTACTTGAAAGAGGTAACACTGCTTTATTTTTTCGTCTTCATTATCATCATCATCATCAGCCTATAAGTGTCCACTGTTGACCAAAGGGCTCTTCTCACATGGAGGATGGATTTTAGCATTAATCACCACGCTAGCTCCCTCTTTTGCACGGTTTTATTAATTACTTAGGTATGTACATAGTACTATGCAGTTACATAAGGCTGATTCGGTTATTTATTTATACTTACCTGGTTATAAAGTTTTGAGATTGATTCTTGAACAGTTTTTTTTAATTCCATATTTTAAATAAGGATTTGGAATTGAGTAAAGCGTTCGGATAAAGGGCTTACCCAAAGTATTTAACGTTAATTAAAGTTCACAGAAACATCTTCAGCTATCCTTTCGAGGAAAAATAAACGTGTCTATAAACGACAATTGTCAATGTAAACGGTTTTCTCTTAACCTGAATATACATTCTTAGAGAATCCAAATAAAATAGTTCTATCTTCCACGAACTTTAAACCAAGGTCTATTCATCAAGCTACTGCTAGATATTTCACGGAACTTGGGAGTTTCTAGAAAATTCTACGAACTTTTGCACCTTATTCTGGAAATAAACTTCCAAAGGAATGAAACGGTATAAAAGTTTTTGATATTTATCAATAAAATTACGGTGTTATTCATGAAAATAAACATTAGGCAAACAGTACCTATTTTCATTTTTTCCTTGAAAATGAGTAGGAATTTAAGGATAAAAAATATTTTTTTACACGGTAACCGCTATGGGGGACATCGGTGACTGATGTTAGAGGAGCATTTGCCTTCAACAGAGGGTGTAGTACGAAACTGTGTTACGTTCATGTGGTTTAGCTCTCTGATTGGTTGGTTCATTGGAGCAGGCCAATCAGAGCGTCGAACGCAGTACCGTTTTGATATCGTTCAACGTACAACAAACTCGTACTAAGACCTCAGTTTTCTGTCTGTAGTAAGAATATTTAATAAGGCAGTAATGTCTAATGCCTTAATGTTTTCTTTTCAGATATACGCAAATTAATTCTACCAGAAAGCAGACACTTTCTAGTGAGTAATGCGTGTGTTATTGGCATCACTACCATGTCTGGATCAGGTAAAGTATATGTTACAAGTAAATCATAAACTTTAGATGTAAGATTTGTGTTCAAGGATCCATTGGGTGGGTTGCTTCTAACCAGAAGCCTTAGTACGAGTTTGATTTACGTTTAAAGAAATCGTGACGAGTACGCGTTCGGCGCTCTGATTGGCTGCTTCATTGACACCAGCTAATCACAGCGCCGAACGCGTACTCGTTTCGAATACTTTAAACGTAAAACAAACTTGTACTAAGGCGTCAGACGTTCTTGCACGTTAATTGATTATTGATGTTTGATTCTGCCTTTTTTTTTTTTTTTAAGGGGGGAAAATCATCGAATGACTGCTCCCGCCTGGGTGAGGCGGGAGGGAGTGTCAGACTCTTACTGACTAAAAACCACCCCGTTCCTTCTCCTGCACGTCGAGCCGGAGCCCCGGTTACCCGTTAGGTTCTCCGCGACTCCGAATCGGCATCGGCCCTATTGGGCCCCATCTGTGGTGGTCTGATGGCTCTTTGAGGCGCGCGCGGAACGCGACGCGCCGTACGCTCGGGTCTGTTTCTGGTCGGACGGGGAGCCACCCATGCTCGCCGTCCGCAGGCCCGCGCTTACGGTGGCCGGAGATCGTCCCGCGATCCCCGACGCCCGGTGTGTCCTTCGCGATGGCTGGGTTGCGAGGAGGCAGCGCTTCGCTGCCTCACGCGTCCCGCCTCCTCCTTAGCTAGCATGACTGCTTCGCAAAAGGAGGAGACGGCATCCCAGTCCCCCTCGCTCCGCATCATGGCCTGCACTAGGCCCGGACGCGAGAGGTCGCCATAGCCGATCACTTCCCTGACGACACGGCGGTGCTCAGCCCACGAAGGGCATTCTCCCACCGTGTGTTCCACCGTGTCCTCAGGGCGGTCCTCGCAGTGATGACACCCGGGCGTTTCCTCCCGCCCCATCAGACACAGGTACCTCCCGAAACTTCCATGTCCGGTATGTTTGATTCTGCCTATCGAGACCCTAGCTGATCTTGTGTCTGATGTAATTGTACATTAGCGAAAAATATCTGTTTTAAAATCATGAATTAGTAAGACCTGATGAAAAATATGCATCGCGAAATAAATGATGTATGAAAATAGCTTCGAAATATTGCGTTGAAAAACTGTTTTGGCTGGATCGTGCATTAGCCATTTTAATTTCGCTAAAATGTTAGTGTAGCGAGCCTCGAACAGGCAGTCTGAATGCGATTCAGCAAAACGTGCCGCTTCTAGCAACGTTTGGCTCGCTGGCTAAATCTGAATTTGCATTGCAATATTGTCGGATTTTATATTATACTAATACCGTGACTCGGATTGGTACGGACGTGATTTCTGACTTTTGAAATTGAAGTCTACAAGAACACATGCTCCCTCAACGATTCATACTACATATAAATAATTACATACAACATAAACTGAATCCTTACTAGCTTCTGCCAGCAGTTTCGCCCGCGTTTTCATAGAATAAAAAGTAGCTTATGTATTATTCCAGACCAGAATCTACCCCTGTTCCAAATTTCATCCCGATCACTTCAGCCGTTTTGACATGAAGGAGTAACAAATATAAGTACATAAAAATCACAAACTTTTGCATTTATAATAGCAGTAAAACTAATGTCTGCTGATTGGTTGAATGTGCTACTGCCGGGCAAGGGGTCTCGAGTTGATTCAAAGGTCTAGCAAAATATTACTGGGTTTTTAAAAGAAATTGTCATTAGATAGTAGCACGGAGTCCTGGAATCGTGCCATATGGCAATAGGCTCACCCCCACATGGGTCTTATAACATTAATAGTGAAAAGTGGGTGTTACTCACTGTACAATGTACAATGGCATGGAATGGGCCATGGAAAGGCATGATGTTATGTAAAACTAATGTGGAAGTGTAAACCGTTCTTTTCATCATCACATCATCACATTCACATCTCAACAGGGCACCTCTATGGTATGATTTTTGTGTCTAAGAGGATAATGGAGATGAGGGCAAAACCTCGGGTGGAAAGCACAGTACAGTATCTAATAATATTAGTTAGTGCAGATACTGTTTCACATGCTTTAAAATAGCATGCTAAAATATTCTATTGAGCATGCTTAAATATATTCAAAAATCGAACACCTATCGATTCGCAAACAACCTTGAAATGAGCATACTAATTTTGAGTAACATTCTGACATAAATACAGGTTTATCTTCCTTTGTTAAATAAAATCATTGCTTGATTCTTGCACCTAACCTACCATTTACTCTTTTCTGCATCACCCAGAAGTCAGATTGGGAGAAAATGCCTGTGACATTAAGTCCGCCTCTTCTACATCGTGTGCATAAAGCGTAATAAATATTTTAATAAAAAAACATAATACTAACTGACAAGCGATTGAAGCATGTATTCGTGTTTGAAATTAGCATATTTTTTATGGAATAGGAGGCAAACGAGCAGACGGATCACTTGATGGTAAGCAATCGGCGCCGGCCATGGACACCCGCAACACCAGAGGAGTCACAGGTGCGTTGTCGGGCTTTTAAAAAGGAATACGCTCTTGAAGATTTGGATTGTGTAACAGTACCGTTATTGTATTTTTCCTTTATTGTTTCAGTGATTCATTTCATCGCGAATGTGACCGTGTTCACATATTACAATTTGAAGCACTTACGGCCGATTTTATTCAACTGTGGACCTTAAAAGATAATTTGTAAATATTAAGTATTTATTAACTAAATAAAGTTTTGAAGCCTTGGAATCTAAAGTGTACTTAATAATGTCGTTTGTTTTGTCATTATGATTTTTTATGGAATATGAGGCAAACGAGCAGACGGATCACCCGATGGTAAGCGATCAGCGCCGCCCATGGACACCTGTAACACCAGAGAAGTCACAGGTGCGTTGCCGGCTTTTTAAAAAGGAATACGCTCATTACTTGAAGTTTTGAAGGTCGTATCGGTTCAGAAATACCGCCGCATTTTCACAGTTTTGCTGGCGAGGCAGAAAGCTACGAGAGAAGCTCACAATTGTGGCCTGTCAACCATCTATTTATATGATGGGGATACAATTTAGATATGCTGTCGTGAGGGTCGATAGCGAAAAGACGCGAAAGGTATCAGATCAAACAATTCCTCAGAGCTCATGTTCATGATTTTTAATTAATTTATCAACTTAATGATGAATAAGGTTATCAAAAGCGTGAGTAAACATATACAGCCTTGGCCAAAAGTATTAGGCACCCAATGAATTACTTCAAATTTTGGGTTTAGAGAGAAATAAAACTACTTTTGTTGATTTATTAACTTTATTTCCATTAAAAACAAATAAAAACATCAATATTTTGTTGGGCCACCCTTTGATTTTATCACAGCAGCAACTCTGTGAGGCATACTGCGTACAAGTTTTACGCATTCCTCTCGAGTAATTTCTTCCCATTCTTGAACTAAAGCGTGTTTTAATGCAGCTTTCGATGTTATGGAATGGTTTTTGATTTTTTTCTTTAAAACACCCCACAAATGTTCAATTGGATTTAGATCCGGGGACTGGGCAGGCCAATCTAACAGTTCAATACAATTGTTAGTAAACCAGCGCAATGTTGTCGCTGATCTATGACAAGGCGCGTTGTCCTGTTGAAATTTAACGCCGTGTAAATTAGTGTCACCAAAAACACACGAAAATGAAGGTATAAGGGCACTTTCTAGTACATTAATGTATTTTTCACTGTTCATGCGACCTTCACAAATGAACATTTTTCCAACTGCATCCGCAGCCATGCAGCCCCAAATCATTACACTGCCTCCACCGTGTTTTATGGTTGGGACTACGCAATCTGGGTGATATTCTTCGCCTCTGCGTCGCCTCACAAACGTCACACCTCGTGTTCCAAATACCTAAAATGACAAAATAAAATTTACACATTACAAACCTACATAACATTTGAGTTTGAAGACTACTACAACAATAATCGATGCAATTGTGTTGTAGACTCAATTAATAAAACTTACCTCAAAGTTTGATTCGTCAGACCATAGTACATTTGACCAATCCTCCTCTGTGAAATGTTGGTGTCTCAGAGCCCAATCAAGCCGTTTTTTTTTGTTCTCTTCTGAAAGCCACGGCTTCTTTCTGGCTTTGCAACCTTTTAAACCCGCTTCTACGAGCCTTCGTCTTGCAGTCCGAGCGCTTATGGGTTTACCAGTCTCTTCAGTTAAAGCTGCAGCCAGCTCTGAAGAAGTTTTTTTTCTGTCTTTGATAGACTCACGGATAAGTTTCCTGTCCTGGCGGCTAGTAGTCACGCGTTTCCTCCCTGTTCTTGGTTTATTCGCATGTGTACCAGTCTCAGCAAAACGTTTAATAGCAGATTGAACTGCGCATCGCGAACATTTTACCAACTTCGCAATTTCTTTCTGAGTCTTTCCTTGCTCATGTAAAAGTTGAATTTTTACACGATTTTCAAGACTAATTTCGTTTCTCTTTGGCATTTCAAATAAATCTCTTCTCAATTTAATCACAAAACTACAAATGTACTATCTTTGTGCGAAGACTTCCAAATGCAGAATGACCAAATATTAAAAATAAAATTTGTAAAAAAGTAATATTTCGTTATTGATACACCAGATGTTATACAACCACTAAAATATTGCCGCCCATTGTCTTAAATAGTGGTTTATGACACAGGGATCATCTTTCAAAAGAATATTTACTCATTGTTTAAATGATGCGGGTGCGTGGGAACTTTATTGAGGGTGCCTAATACTTTTGGCCAAGGCTATATATTCCAAGGTTAGATCAAAATTGATCAATGATAAAAATCAATGATAAAAAAGTTTATCGTTTCGATTTCGTTGTACAGGTACAACTAGCGGAGAGACTTTAATATTGGACTAGCTTCTCGGCCTTGCCCGTATTCCAGTAGGATAAAACGTGGCCTATGTGTTATTCCAGACCATAATCTACCTCTTTCCTAAATTTCATCTCGATCCCGTCAGCTGTTTCGACGTGAAGGCATAAAAAACAAACATACTGAAATTTTCGAATTTATAATAATATTAGTAGGATTCAGGTGTAGCCGCGTAGGTTATTTTTTATTTACCTTCTTTATTCACAACAACCGTAATAATTATCCTACGTTGTCTCGAATTCCTCAATTCCAAACCAGTCAGCATTCAATGAATCGAAACGATTTTAAAAAAAGGTCCGAGAAATAAAAATCACAGCAAAAGGAACTCCCCTATTTTCGGGCACGAGTACCTCTGTATTAGCAAGTAAGCAACAATGCGAGGTATTTGGGCCGGAGATAGGGACACAGCTGTTCCCATTCTTGCAAAGGCCGACCCCTAGCTATGGCACGCGGAGAACCATTGAAATTTTTCGTTTCAATTCTTCACAGTAGGTAAAGTTGGGAGTTCGATTGTAGCAATGAGTGACTGAATAAATAAGTTGGTTGTGGGTTGACTTCGATCTTAGTATCTACAAAACTGTTATTGGGTGTTAAGATTTTCAAAGTTTTTAATATGAAGGAGTAACAGTAAAATGTACCTACAGCTTTTATTCATCGGAAATTGAATCTAATAGTACTTGTATTCATCGTTTTCGTCTTGCAGCAAAACAACTCGCCATAAGAAGTACTTGCGATGTATAAAGTAAAAACAAAACAATAAATATGTAATTTGTATTAATTAAAAAAAGTATGGAAATATGTACATGAAACAGTAGGCACTATTCGCATCTCACATGCCACCCGACGAGAAATACCTCTTCAAGAATTACGTGGCATAATGTTCTGATACTGTACTATGAATTTGTATGCACTTTCGAAGTGTCCTTTTTACAGTGTTTACAGTGTTTAAAAAATTGCTGGAAAACCACTAAAATTAAGTTGGTCATAATATAAATTAATGCAAGTGTGATTATTTTTTAATATTTTACACCAGTCGAAATAATTAATATTTGGTTAAGGAAAGTACCTACCCAATTTCAATAGTCTATCTCAATCCAAAGTCTGTGGATTATAGATTATGATCGATTTTGACCGAAACTCTATAGAACGGAATGACAGTAATTTTTATTTATAGTATTTTGTACAAGGTCAACATCTTGTTTAAAAATAATAATAAAAGGAAAGGAAAAAAATTAAGATATACAACTTGACATACACTGAAAGTAATAGAGAAAACTCAATATACAACTAATGTCAAAAGTAGATCGTTATCCACAGATTTTGACGCAGAAAACCTAACGGGTTACCGGGGCTTGAAGCGTAGAAGAAGGAACGGGGTGGTTTTTAGTCATAAGAGTCTGACAGTCCCTCCCGCCTCACCCAGGTGGGAACAGTCATTCGATGATTTTCTCCCCTTAAACAAAAAACAAAAGATTAGATTGGATTACTAAAATCGGTAGTTAATATATAGGTATAAACTGAATGCAGGTGTTAAGATAGACAACGTGCAGTTGAAGCCATTGGTTATAGAAAGTTACCTATGATTAAGAATTCGTTAAACAGGGAAATAAATCATTTGCTGATTGAATTGTTGAGAACAAGTATGTTCATTGGAGAATGTTGTATGAGAAATACTATTAGAAAAATCTTACTAGAACAAGAGAAAACGTATATAATCTGAAATTGGCATCGCAAACAATAAACATTCCATATGAAACTTTAGCGTTAATTCTGTTGAAAAAAATATAAAAACAATGTCAAATGTTACCTAAGTTCATTCATTGCAATGAATACCTTTTTTGATAAAAGTGAATGAATTATAATATTTGAATATCAATTTATAATAAAGCGAAAAGAATAAAATTAAACAATCAACAACCATATCACTGTTATTTATAGAAGCTATAACCACTTCATTTTAAATACGGTAGTTGACAAATAGTCAAATTCAATACTTTTATCGAAACGTCAAAAACGATACTGTCCTATGAATTTTTGTATAAAATACTATCTAATGACGTCATCTTATTTTCGCGTCAAATAGCACACTTATATCTAAAAAAAATGCTAGAATAAATCGAAAATTAATTAGATCGGCAAATCAATAAATGAAAGTGTACCTATTTTTCAATATTTAATTGAACTGAAAAATCAAAATAATTTATTTTTGACCCAGGAAACTACCCAATTGTGGAACTAATAGTAACTAGTTGTAACATGAGAAGTAGAAAATGGTCGAGAGACTAAGAGATAGTAGACATACAATGAGAAGGGATGACAATCATATGACAAAGTGGGTGCTGAATCTAAAAGTAGATGAACCCAGAGATAGATAATGAAAGGATGATTAAAGAAGAAAGACATGAAACAAAAAAGAGTTTCTATAGCATATGGTAAAATTAATTACATGGTGGCCCGGAGGTATAGACGCCTCTCAAGTATGAGGGTGTGGGTTCGACACCTACCAACAGCAAGCATAAATGTGACTTCATCCATCCCAGTCCCCCTTGCTCCGTACCATGGTCTGAACCAGAGCCGGACGCGAGAGGTCGCCGATCACATCCCTGAGGACACGGCGGTGCCACCGTATGTTCCACCGTGTCCTCCGGGCGATCCTCGCAGTGATGACACCCGGGCGTTTCCTCCGTCCGGTAAGCACCTGCGTCAGGCGGTAGGTGAGGACGCCGCAGCGTCTTTCAAGCCACTCCTCAAAGAGGAGACTTACCGCTGCAATGACATCGAGGACCCAAACGTGAGGAAACCTGGATTTCTAATTTGTGTTTATAAGTTTGAAATCGCCAACCC